CCTCCCCCCCACTCCTCTGGCTTCCATGAGCCAACAGCTCTCCTCTGCCATCCCCTGGTGCCATGAGTTCTGCTCCGCCTCCGGCCAGAGCCTTGCACTAAACCTCTGAAACTGTGAGCCCCAGATAAACTTTCCTCCTCTAGGTTGCTCTTGTTGGGTGTTTTGACTAACACACCCCTCTCATTTTCTTCTTGCCCAGGCCGCCTCTTCACAGGCAGGACCATGCAGTAGTTAACCCTTCGTGGTCCACGTGGCAGGTCAGGCCCAAGAAGCCCTGATGTCCACCGAGTGGGTGTTGTTGGCAACATCTCCACTGCAAGCCTGTTCAGAGGACACTGGTGGTCCTTTCCCATGACGCTGTTCAGCTCGACCAACCACGGGCTCTCGAATGATAAAACCACTCTCAATTATTTATTGTTAAGTAAAAAAAAAAATGCCTGTGTTGCTGCTGCTACTAGATGTCCACCTGGACAAATCCCTCTGGGTACGTGGAAACCCAGTGATAAAATAAGACAACGCTCTAGTGGCTTGATTCAGTGGGGACCTTGGCATACCTGAGGGAAAGAATTCAGCAAGAGCCAGACCAAGGTGTGGATAGGAGCTTATGGAGCAAGCAGATCCACACTCAGGGGAGAACATGGCCACCTCAAGAGTGAGCAGCCCCACGTGGGCTGGGATCCAAAACGTAGAGACAGGCTGTCCTCAGGAGCCGGGCTGGAGGTACAGGGTGCAGCTGCACAATCCCCGACTTTCCCTGCAGTTGTGCACGTCCCTCCTTTTACAAGAGGAGTGTGATTTCTGCCTCTCGGTGGCTCCTGGATGCTTCCTTCACAACTCAATGTCTCTCTCTCTTTACCCTAAATCCTTGCCTATGTTACAGGTGCCACCTCGGTCTCCTTGGTCCTAGGCCCATAAAGCCAGGTCCCAGGTATTTTGCAAACCAGATCTGGCCTCCTCTTAGGTTTGGTTTTGTATTGTCCTCCTTAAACCCTACACCTGTGGCCTGCCAGACTTCTACAGAAGCACGACCCACGAAATGACATCAGTGCTCGAGGTGAGGGGCCTACAGAACAGAAGAAGCACACTGGGCAGCAGGCTCCCAGCAGATGTGGCCTAAGGACCTGTCCCTGCACGCTCCTGGCCACAGACGTGGCTTGGCAGATCTAGACACCGACCCATGGTCACCAGGTGCGCCCCCCATGTGGGACTAGCCCAGACCCAGAGCTGATCCAGGCCCATCCTGCACCAAGGGACGATCACAGGCTGACTACAAGTCAGATGACGGTCTCCATCACAAGAGGGAAATGCAAAAATGGCAGGATGGGAACACCATGGCTCCAGCCTACCTGACAGAAGTGTATCCAGGAGGCTGGAGGAGGCACCCCTGGGCTTGGCCTGTAGGGAGCTGTCAACACACAGTAGCAGCCCTCCCCGGAACTACAGCTTTTTAACTTGGAAATTTCACATAAAACCTGTATTTCCAGGGCTGAGGCTGTGACTCAGCAGTACCGCACTTGCCTGGCATGTGTGAGGCACTGGGTTTGAATATCAGCACACATGTAAATAAATAAAAAATAAAGGTCTATCAACAACTAAAAAAAATGAAAATTTAAAAACCCTGAATTTCCAGCTTCTCTTGAGAATGCAGGTCTGCCTCTGGGACTCCCTGGAGGCCAGCCCACAGCCCCGCCCCTGGCTCCCCAGCAGCCACCCACCGCCCCACAGCCAGGTCTGTGCCAGCTCTTGGTGGAGGGCTCTGAAGACAGCTCACTGTCCTCCAGAACCACATCCCTCCTGGACCACGGCCAGGTCTGTGCCA